GGGGCGGGGGGCGGCCGCGTGGCGGAGCAGCCGCGGGAGCCCCGGGACGCCGCCGCGGCTGCCCCCGGCTCGGTTAACGCGGCCGCCTTTGTGCCCTTCCTCCTGCTGCCGTCCTCTTCCTGCTCGTTTCCTCCCTGAATCTCAGTCTAGAGATCTTTGTTTTTAAAAACAAAGCATGCATTTCATGTGACTTTTTAAAAAGATTTGATCAGGAGTGGGGTTAGATACTGTATCGGAATGTGAATTTTATCTTTGATTTAAAAGAAATAAGTTGTAGGTGGTAAAATTAGGAAGGCAGGGCTATGAAATATTTGTGCTTGTTCAGAATTATATCACTTTCCTTTAAAATCTACTGCTTTTCATAGCTGGCTGAGCTACCTCATGAGCTAAAAAGGGAGATGACAAATGCTGTGGTGATGGGTGGGCCGGCTGAGAAGGAARCCCTTGTCCTATGTTTAAGGATTTCCCCTCAATAATTCCAGTTTCCCCCCTTCAGAATAAAAATAAACAGTTTTTTTTAAAGAGGTATTTAGTCAGCATAAAGGAAGCCTTACTCAGTAATGCTCAAATTAAYGTAGCCTGATTCTGTTAATTGTTGCAGCTGGCATGAACGTCCTGCTCATAGTGGTGGATGACCTGCGCCCTGTTCTGGGCTGTTACGGAGACAGGCTTGTAAAATCTCCAAACATTGATCAACTCGCTTCTCAAAGCGTTGTGTTCAGCAATGCTTATGCACAGGTAAGATAGGGCACTTAAATATTTTGCCAAGAAGCTTTTTTTTTCTTGATTTCTGCAAAATATTTCCTGGTTTCATCACGGTGAGTTTTRGAAAGAACTGTTTTGTATTTATCTGTCTCTGCTCAAGTGGGAAAAAAGAAGTACCATAGTACCACCCAAGCATTTCCCATTGACWGCAAAATCTGCTTAAAAAAGCTGTTTTGCCAACTGATAATTCTTTTCTTTCCATTCATTTCTTGCATATGTTGCTCAGCAACATATGCAACTGTAACATTTGCTATGTTACAGTTTGTATTGCTTTTCATTGAGCTCTGATGACCTTTCTAACCGTCTCTTCCCTCAGCAAGCCGTTTGTGCTCCCAGCAGAGTATCGTTTCTAACTGGTCGCAGACCCGACACTACCCGACTATATGACTTCTACTCCTACTGGAGGGTGCATGCAGGAAACTACTCCACGATGCCTCAGTACTTCAAGGAGAATGGCTATGTGACCATGTCTGTGGGAAAAGTTTTTCATCCCGGTATCATTTAAGTTGTCATGTACTTAATGTAGATACTATGTTGAATATGAGTAATACCACCGCTTAAACTAGGAAAATAAAACAAAAAAATAAAAACAATACTGAGCTGAAAAACTCCATAATACTTTGGTGACTTTTTTTATCTGGTAATTCTTTATCTCAGCATAGAGCTTGCATGGGCATGTAGATGTTCAGCTACTAGTAAATCTAACTAGAAAAATCTAACATGAAAATGTTACTAATTCTAATTGTTTTGTCCCTAAAATTAGGTTGCTCAAAGTTTGAGTATCCTTTCCCATTACCAGATTTTTTTTTCAGGGACAACTGTCCATCTTAAACTTTTTGATATTTATTTCTTAAATATTCTTTCTTTGCTCACTGAGTTGTCAAAAATTTGAAATGCTTCTGCAACTGTAGTACTTAAAAATAATAAAAACAAGTTAACTTGTATATGAGCTCCTGTTAGCTTAGTGAACTATTGGAGCATTTCTAATGTCTTTGTACCTTTTCAGGGGTTTCATCCAATTACAGTGATGACTACCCCTACAGCTGGTCCATTCCACCTTTTCATCCTTCTGCTGAAAAGTATGAAAATGCTAAGGTAATTTGTGGCACCTTCATGAAGAAGGAAGGGCTTTCTGGATATAATGAAGTTCTTTATGTCAAGTACCAGTCTATGTTCTCTGTTTTTCTTGAGATTATAACATAGTGCAGAGAAACCACTCATCGTTGGTTTTAACAACAGTATTTGTCAGCAACATGCTTTTCTTTGTCTGTTTAGCATCTGTCTCAAAGACCATGCTGAGGCCACATTTTCTTGGCAACTGTTTAGTCTCATTTATCTTTCTCCACTGATTGTGTCATAGATTGCTGGCATTTGCCCAGATATTAATGAGTCGGTAGCAGATTCTAGGTAGCTTTCAATGAGCTCTTGGAGTCCGAAGGAGCAGTAATGAATATATTTACTGTAACCAAGTTTTAACTTATTGCTGATAGGTCAGAGATCCTGTTATAGAAGTATGTTTTCCTGTATGGTTCCTTTGCAACCACCGTGTTTAGAGAAAGAATTCTGCTTTTCTTTGCAAACAAAAGTTGTCAGTGTGTTTCTTCAGTCCTTCAGTTTTCATAAAAATTGTGATTTATCTTACTGAATCCCATCCAAAGCGTTTGTTGTGTGTTTGAATGAGTTGTGTGAGATGCTCAGAAATCCGTTGTTTTTTTAAGTTGCTAAAGAGAGACTTACTTTTACAGAAATTAAGTTACTTAATTCTTTTTTTAAAGACTTGTAGAGGAAAAGATGGAAAACTTCATGCAAACTTGGTGTGTCCAGTGAATGTGACAGAAATGCCCAGTGGTACCTTGCCTGATATTCAAAGCACTGAGGAAGCCATACGATTGCTGAAGGCCATGAAGACTAAGAAGCAGAAATTCTTCTTGGCTGTTGGTTATCACAAACCACATATCCCACTAAGGTACCCACAGGTAAGAAACATTGCACCTGTGGGAAAGGAACTTAAATTATGTTTTCAAACGTATTTCTAATTATTTTCATTTAATTATTATCATTTCTGGAACGCAAGCAGTAAGGCCCGATTCTGTGCATTTTTAGCAACCATTTGTGTTGCATTTAAAAATATTTATAGAGTTGTGCCCGGTGGAAAAAAAAAGCGACCACTTCCATCATAATAGAGTGCTTGCCCTTGCGTRGAGGTGGTGTTCAGCTTGGAGTATGACATAATGAGGCCTTAGCAGGATCTTTTTCTTGCTTTACCATTAGTCAGTGGCAAAATTCCTACTGTTTTCAAAGGAAGCACTGATATCTATTTAAATGTGATTTCTTAATGTATAACTTCACTCTATGATTCACTGCTGATTTTAGATGCAGRTAACTATTTTCATGTACAGCATTGCTTACTGACTTAGTATTTTTTTAGAAATTGTCTGGGGCTGACTAATACAATATTGCTATCTTTAACACTCAAGGGATGAGGAAATYTTTGAATAGTAAGAAAACTGAAGGGTCATGAAAGGCAAAATGCCTTACAACACAAAAGTTTGCCATAGGCCTTAAAAGTGAGACTTTTTATGTGTTTGTGTTGTAAAGGAATTTCTCAAACTGTACCCCTTGGAAAACATCACATTRGCCCCTGATCCCTGGGTGCCCCAGAGGCTACCTGCTGTGGCATACAACCCATGGATGGATATCAGACAGAGGGACGATGTGAAGGCATTAAATGTTAGTTTCCCATATGGACCACTTCCAGAAGACTTCCAGGTAAGCAGTTAATACAGTGCACTGAAGTCAAACTGCCCTAAATTGTTGAAATATGAGGACGTAGATTGCCACTTCTGGATGTTCTAGCAGACTCAGCACCTGAGAGTTTGAAAAAAGAACCAATTCTCTACCCTTCAAGCTGTTGCAGGAAGGTAACGTGACTTCCTAGGTAAATACCTGTAACTGAATCTTGTAGGCAGTCACACTTGCAACAGGAGACAGAGTTGAGCCTTCAGCTAATGGTAATGTGTGTGTTCTTGGTTATTTCTACTTCGCATCATTGCTACTGAGGGGTGTGTTGCTGTGTAAGGGAGTGTATGCATCAGTTACCAACAWCCCTTCCATTTTCCTTAGCTACATCTGCTACTCCCAGCTGCTTATGTGGCTGGATATTGCGAGAAATGGATTTGATCAATTTGCRACATCTTCCTTGAAAGAACTTGTGAGAAATAGTTAGAATTTTTGAACTATMTGCCTCCTGGTTTAACTCTTCAGCCCAGACATTAATCAGGCTGTAGCCACTTGAAAACAAAGCTTTACAAGAAAAATCCTTCAATACCGTTATTTGCAAGAGGACCAGTGGGTGCCCTTTAGACAAAAAGCTTGTTTGTTTGTTTTAACTTGCAGCGACAGATTCGCCAGAGCTATTATGCAGCAGTTTCCTACCTGGATGTGCAAGTTGGCCTGCTCTTGGATGCTCTGGATGATGCAGGACTCTCAAACAGCACCATTGTAGTCTTTACTGCTGATCATGGTAAGCAAGCAGCTCTCTCCAACACAGTGTAATAACTTCTTAATTGTGCAACTTGATGCTGGCATATTAATCATGTGTGTGCCTTTATAACTTGCAGCAGTACAACAAAACCTTACATATCTGGCTAGTYGGACTCTAATTAATGGACTCTGACATAGGCTTCTGTGGCAGTGCAGCTCTGTTTCCCTGCAGGCACCTCTCCCTAATCAAGTGGAGGGTTTGCTTGTGAGTGATGAGCTTGCATGCCAGGATACAGGGCTGAACTGCTGTATTCCCACCTCCTACCCCAAAGGGTGGCTCCTGCTGGGGAGAGGGCTGCTCGGAGAGCTCCCCCGTTGCAGATTGTGGCAAACCATCTGGTACAGTGGGTGGCAGGCACTCTCATTAACTGCTGCTGCAGTGTGTGTTCTTGMGCTTGTCATTGCTGCTTGCAGAGCAGCTAAACTGATAGCTAAACAGATAAACTGATAAATTTTCGTGTTAGAGATATCTTACTACATTTAAACATGGATTATTACTAAGCAGCACAATCTTGACAACAGTTTAGAGGTCTCAACAAACAGTGAGTTTTGCTGTGAGAAATGACAACTAAATTAYTATCTATTTCTGCTCTAAATTATGCTCTCTATCATCCAGGATGGTCCCTGGGAGAACATGGTGAATGGGCAAAATACAGCAATTTTGATGTAGCTACCCATGTGCCACTGATGTTTTACGTACCAGGAATGACCTCTTCCTCTGCTGGCCGAGGGGAGAAAGTCTTCCCCTATCTTGACCCATTTAGCCATATTTCAGACTTGGTACTTCAAGGTAAGTTTTCAGTACTTAATGTTTGCATTTGCAGTGGATAAAGAAGTGTAGTGATTTAATGATACTTCACATACAAGCAACTCAGGTTTGATTCCCAACTAAGGCAAGAAAAATCTTGCTCCTGGAAGAGGTTCCCTCTAAGACAGGTTTAAACATTCATGATGTTTTATCAGTTGAAAGGTAATTCAGATAATTAAATGGTCTTTTAACATCCTTTCCAGACATTCATTTATGTGACTTGAACAAAAAACTTCTTTCCTTAACATGCGTGTCAGCAGCCTTGAGYTTTCTTAGGAGCAAAACTGCCAGACTTCTTCCCTATTGTGAGCAGGGTAGAGCAGCTATGCAGGAATTTGCTAAGTTTTTTTGATGTCTAGTTAAGAACAAAAAGGGATTCTCTTGGGCTAGAGAGCTTGGTGCAAAAGCAGGCTTTAGGCTAAAAGGCTTTACATCTATGCAGGGTAACATATGGTAAATGTTGTTTTACCAATATGTTACCAACATATTGGTAAAATACACTTGTACTTTAGACTGAAATAAAGATTGCATCTAACTCATGCTGTCAATTCTTGGTTCAATGTCATCGACTCTGCTTTTGTACCGATGAGGGACAAGATGGTAARGAGTGTATTACAATTCTGAACACAAACCTTTGCTTTGGCTAGGTCTGCTTTAGTGGAAACAGTTAGATGCCTGCATTAACACAGCAGGAGGTTTACTTTTGTTGCTTAGGTGCCTAAAAGGATACTTGACCTACCTTTCATAATGGCTGTAGCAGTTTTTTTCCAGCAGTGATTAGTAAAAGCATCTGTGCAGCCTCTGTGCCTAAACTGATGGCCTCAGAAACCACTTTGATGGAGGTAACTTTGCATTAAATGGTAGATACTGAAWTTTCCTTTGTTTTTCTGGTGAGCTCTTTTTCAGAGGAATGAATATCAGTGCCTTGAGGAATTTGCGAATTTGAGAAATAGAAGTGACAAATTCTTATCTTGTTAAAATATTATATAAATGTGTAGACTAGTGTTCCCAGAGCTAACTGTCATGCGTTAATTAAATAACCTTGGCTTTGCTACCCCACAAATCCAATAAACACTTCCAGTAAAGCACCAGCTTAATTAAAATATTCTCTGTCTGAGACATCATGTTCCTTAACCTGTATTTTGATGTTTCTTTTAGGGCAAAGTAAAAAAATGGTTGAACTTGTGTCTCTTTTTTCAACTCTGGCTGAACTTGCTGGCCTGCAAGTTCCTCCTGCGTGCCCCAAGACTTCATTTTCTGTTGCCCTGTGCACTGAGGGGACAAGCATTGTSCGGTACTTCAATTCCACTGAAGAGAAGCTGCAGGAAGCAGAGAAGGATGGTTGTGATGACACTTACAGAGGTTGTAATGACGAAGCTATTGCCTTCAGCCAGTATCCTCGACCTGCAGACACTCCTCAGTGGAACTCTGACAAGCCAAAGCTGAAAGACATCAGAGTCATGGGGTATTCCATGCGTACAGGTGACTACAGGTATACTCTGTGGGTTGGATTTAATCCTAGCAACTTTAGTGCTAACTTTGAGGATATCCATGCTGGTGAGTTGTATATGGTGAAAAGTGATCCACATCAGGATTATAATATCTATAACAATACCTTACATGGTGGGCTTTTCAAAAAACTTCTAGGCTTCCTGAAGCACTAAGGTATTTTACAAATTCTTGCCAGTAACCGTAACATTTTCTTTTTTTCCTTCCATGAAACACTTCTGTTGTACAGAAAATACTTGGATTCCATTAAAATTCTGTTGGTATCAGAACATTACTATACTTTTGTCTKGTTACAGCCCTTATTTACACCTAGTCAAGATCAAGTTATTTCTGCAACTGTGTTTTCATGTGCTAGCATGTAGCACTTCTGAAAAGGCTGTGCAGGACTGTGTGGAAAGATCTTCATTGTCTTCAGTGTTGTATGTCTGAAGAAGAAAAACTCATCAGCTTTATTGGAATTTTTCATATGAAAGGTGGCAAAAGAAAAACTTTTATGTCTGAAAGTTTGGAGAATGGGTGTGAAAAAAACAGGTCTCATCTGCTTTGGATGCTTGGAGTTTGAGTGAACTAGGAGACATTTGGTAATGATGAGGGACAGAGGGGTTTGCTGTTTTCCACCTTGGCCATGACTAGATCTGAAGGGCAAATCCCATGTCTTACTCCATTTTTTTTTTCAAAATGAAAACTTCATTTTGCAGGTGCTTACTGCTTTTCAGACAGAGGAGTGGATCTGAGTGTGATTTTACAGGTGTTAAGCAAAGGCTTTAGTCCCTGAAACGGGGAATAGCACTGACTGGTTAAGGTAGCACCAGTATCTCCCCTCCTCAGGTTTATAATGAGGATCAGTCCGGAGAGACCCTGCAGATGAAGCAGAGAYAGAATCACTGAGCAGTTGCAGCCTGCTGGTGTCTAGTGACTGAGCTCAGCACGCTGAGCGTTTCCACACTGGTCGTGTCTGATGGGCAATGTTTCCCTTCTTACCAGTTCCATAAACTAGAGACTTCAGGAGCTGTGGGAGAAACTACAATTTGAGTTGAAGGCTGGGGATTGTTACATGGGGAATTGTTAGATTTCTGTTCTGTGAAGACCACAGAGCAGGACYTGTAAAAATGCTTTTGAGGGGCTTAGAGTTGCAGCATGTAGATGGATTATTGAAGAACACATTTGTGTGAAAACATTCTTCTCTTACATCTCTCTTCCCAAATGTCCCATCACTTCAGGCAATTTAATTTTTCAAGTGGAGATAAAAGTCCTGGTGCCAGGTGATGAGTATTATTTTATCCCTGAGCTATTCTTTTTATATTGAAAGGGAAGAGCTATCCTTGACCTTCCTTAATCAAAACCTAGTAATGTTTTGGGGAGATACGAAACAGAATTGTCTTTGACAGCCAGTGAAACAAAACTGGTATCCAAATGCTCAGAGCAAGGACATTTTTTGCATAATTGCACGAGTCACTGAGCAGCACTGCAGTCCACCTAGAGGACACAGCTTTGCTCTGCCTGCTGCTGTGTTGAGGTGCTTTGAGGTCAGGGAGCAAACTTTGCCATTGCATGTGCTAGATGTTATAGTTTGATTATGAAGCTGATSAAGAGCAGTGGAGACAGGCAGGAGGCAACTTTCTGATGCCAAGCTAATCCACTGCATCTCCTGGAGAGCCTGGCTCTGGCTCTGTTGCGCCAAGCAGCCTGCACTGAAGAACAAAAGAACTTAATAAGAGCAATAAAAATAAAGTACTCTTGCAAACAGCTCCCCTCTCTAGAGGGATGGAGGATGCAAGCCAAGCATCAGGAAACAAATGAGATGCCAGTGCTGACCCTATTTCTCAGGATGGCACCGGAGCAGCTGGAAGAACAGCGTGGTGCTGCATCAGCAGGAATGTGTTACCTGCGCTGCGTGGATGGAGAGACTCCGCTGGGAAGCAGAGAGGCGCCACTGTAAGCACTTGGCAYGAAACAGAGTCAATAAACAGGCCTCTGTTAATAAGCTAATGTGCAAGAGCTATTAAGCAACAGAATTAAAATTTTGGTCCCTAACCAGCCGTACATCAGTCAGTCACAGCTCTTGACGTTGTTTCTAGTGTCTAGATGTGCAGAATCCTAAAACCAAAATCATATTTAAATCAAAGGGAAAGCTGTGCTGCGTGCAGAGCGATGGTAACGGGAATCTTTGTGAGATGGAGGCCCCATGGAGGTGGCTGTTCTGTGATATTGTGCTTCAGTGTGCGGTTTGCAGAGGAGGGATCTGGGTCTAATTTCAGACATGCTGTGCACACTGGAGCGCCTGGAAATGCTGTTGGCGCACGCTGTGCTGTGCAGCAGGCTGGGCTCCTGCCTGTGGCCTCTGCCCGGTGGTTGTTGAGGGAAATGGGGGCGTTTGGAATTAACAGCTCCACGTGTCACAGAGGTTTGTGCTGAGCRTGGGGCCAGCAAAGGCAGCTGCCAGTCCTGGTGCTGCCCAGATGCCCCTGGATGAATCACAGCTTCGTGCTGGGCATGGGCAGGTACCTCTCATCGTTCCTAGTGTTTCTGTGTGTTTTCTGTGATGGGGAGCAGTATGGCCATGGCTGGAATGGTCACAGTGACTGGTCGCGGTGCTGCTCTTGCAGCGCTCTGCTGTTGGCTCTGACCCCAGCACTTAGGCTGTRGCTCTCCCTGACCCAATGATGGAGAGGTGCCTAATGATTGCGATCAAGATCCTAAGTTAAATACATGATTCTTTTCTTTCAAAGATTACTTAACCTTCAAAGGTGAAATTCCACATAAAGAATGAAATTAACCTTTTGGTAACTAAGTTTTCCAGCACTTATAGTTTTCCAGGCGATTGACCTTCTTCCTATTCACCTCAGAAACTCCCAGTGAAGGTGGCCCAAAGTCCAGACTTTTTATGCCTCTGTGTTTGTGCAGCTTCCTTGCTTGTGAAAGTTATCTTCTCAGATGCATGGTCTACATTTTTATCCAACAGGCTGTGATGAACTATAGAAGATAAACTATAACAGAGCCTTGAGTAAGCAAGAGGAAATGACAAAGGCTGTGATACTCCAGTAGGCACTGCTGGACATGGAGTGTGGATAACAGACTGAAGCAGCAGAGAGGGTAGGAACAGTAAGACATAAGTCAAATCAGATATAAAGTCAYAATTTGAAAAGTTTGGTCCAATAAGGAAGTAGAATTAAAGTGTAAAGAGAACAGGAACAGCAAAAGCAGATGATTTTTTTATCTATGGTTTTAGACACAGAAATCAATAGGTAATCAGATCTTGCTTCTGCTCTGATTTATTTCTCTATTTTGGGGTATAATATCTGTAAGGTTTGTATACATGTCATGACTGACTGCAAAACTTCTCTGAATTCAGTTCTGAAACACTTTTGAAAACATAGCTATGGACTATTTGTGTTGCAATTTCTTAGGTGTGCTCAGTTCAGCATTATCCAYGTACGTAAGGCCTGGCTCTTTTCTTTTGTGTCTTGATGCAAACATTTTCTAGTATGTTATACATTGTCATTGTGTAGAAAAGACTGAGTTTGCACCTTACTGTGTAATTGAAGAGCAATTAGCTGTAGTCTAGAAACTCCTAATTGCTTGAAGTCCCCCTCCCTGGCCAGCCTGTGCTGAATTCACTTAAGAGTTTGTTTTGGGCAGGAAGAGYGATTGAAATTCAGCTGCAAATCTTATCATAAAGCCTTACTTTTCATCTTCTGCACCAACCATTAAGTTGCCTAAATATCACTGGACTGCAGCATGTTCTCAGCAGAATCTTTGATTGAATCAAGTTCTGTGTAGGGGCATCGTTTTGTTGACTTTTTCTTACTGAAAAGTTTTGCTTTGATAAGATCATGGACCCTTACTTGAATACTATCAYTTCAATTTTTATTGTATTGCATGATTTTGACATACTGTAATAGGATTTTATAACAAGTGATAAAGCAATTACTTTGTCAAAATAATGAAGTCAAGGCAAAACATTTTGATCTTACAGCAGGAAAGCGTTCAACTTTGTCAAAATGAAATGAGGCGTTTCACTAATGTCAATTCAAATTTCTCATGTAGAATTTTCCATAATTTTCTCAAAGGAGAACTTCAAAATTTTGGCTAAAAGGAAGTGAGAAGAAAATCCCAAACTGTGCAGCTTACCATCATACTAAAATTCAGATTTTTACATCCATGAATAATAGTGTTCCTGAGTTGAATTTAGGCCCTTTGTGTTTTCAGTGCTCTAGAAACAGAGATCTGTGCCTTGGCTCAGACTAAACAAGCGGAGAGTGGCAGTCAGGGAAGATTAGTCCCATTTTATGGATAGGGGACTCCAACCTAGAGAGCTGAAATGCTTTTATTCAAGGTCAGCCAAGAGTTGTGTACAGACGAGGATCTGAAAGGACACCCRCTCCTTATCGGGTGCTTTTATCCCAGGGCTGTCCTTGCTTTCCGAAGCTTCCTGCTTGTGCTCCGCAGATAACAAGAGTTAGCTCAAGGAGAGGAGATGCTACTGCAATGAGCTGGCACCCAACTGGAAAGGACAGGCGCTCATTCCCTGGAAACAGGGCAACGGGTTTTTCTCGCCTCTCCCTCTGCTCCCCCAGCATCGCACCTGCCTGCAGAGCTGCAGGCCGTTTGCAGCAGGACTTCGTCTCGCAACAAATTGCCTAATAAAAGGACAAGTATTCATCACATGTCTGGAAAAAGTTTGTYTTGATCTCTGTGTCCCCTGTTCCAGCTTTAAAGAACAGAGCCTCTTCTCAACTACTTTCCTGGTAATAGAATTAGGGTATAATTCCTAGAAAACAAAATTTGGCAGATATGAAGTGTATAATATTTATCCTTGATTGAACCCACAGACTGTCCTAATACTTACCACATCTTTTTCTGTTTTCCAAGTGAGTTTGATCTTATACAGAAGGAAATTACACTCTTTACTCAAGCCCACTCAAATATTTCACAGCAAGAAGGATATGATCCATTGCTTAGGAGCCCTCATTACGTGCAGCTGTGGGATACTCATCTTTTTTCCTTTATCTGCTCTGCTGGAAAATTCGAATACCTTGTCTTACTAAATAAAATCAAGATCGGAGATGTTAAGAATGAATAGATTGGTTGRTTGAACTTGATAGCATAATCATTTTCTTGTCACCAGCTTTAGTTTTTCTTTGCTGAAATAAGATTAGCGCAGATTAAAGCTATTTATTTTGGAGGTGTAGCACTCTGGACAAGGCAAGCTGTGATAGGTTTGCTTTTGTCTTCGTATTTTAAAAATTTGCTAAACCTCATCTCTTTTGAGGGTGATT